CACCGCGATTCTGCATCATCACCGGCGGCTGCGCCGTCATCGACGATCTCCAGAAGAACTTGCAGCTCTCGTCGGAGCACATGGAGGCCTCCAGGATGACGTTGCACCGTTTCAGAAACACGTCGTCTTCTTCGCTCTGGTACGAACTCAACTAGAGTGCGGTAATGCAACCGGAACCTGAAAAAATCGACGATGGACCATGAAATTACATATATATCCTCAAAAATCACAGTCAACAAACGGTCAAATAGACGGAGGATCAAATCGTGTTAAAATTGCAAAGTTAAGGACTTAATTAGTTGAAATTGAAAGTCGAAGATCAATTTGTGAATTTAGCTATAGTCGAGGGACCATTTTGGGTATTTACTCTAAAGTAAATACTTCTTATAAAATTATTTATTTATCATAGCAAATAATTATTAAATAAAAAATTTTTATAAACAAACAAAAGCTCATATTTCTTTTTTATATGTGAAAAAAATATTTAGTCTATCGCACAGGTGGAATACTAGTTAATATATTATATACCACCACTTGACCACTATGTTTTAATTGGGACTTGGGAGCAGCGAAACACATGTTGTATCTGCTTAATAGCGACGGTTTTCCTGAACCGTGACAAATAAAACACTACAAATATTATTTAATTAAGTTTTAATTATTATACCGCGCGGGTTCGCGGCAGTCAAAGAAACCTTCGCTAAACATCGTTAAATAATTTTTATTTATTATTATTATTTTTTTGTAATGGAAGTGGATAGATTTGATTATGTTATGTGTTATGATTGTCTTCTACAACATTCTTGTTAATGGAGCCAGGGGAGGAAAGGTAACACCAACTCATGGCCAAAGACATGGAGATCCCCTCTCTCCATATTTGTTCATCTGTGCAGAAGGTTTGTCCCGTTTACTAAAGAATGCTCATGCTCAGGGATCTATTCATGGTTGTAGAGGGGCTAGAGGAGCCCCAGCTATTTCTCACCTTTTCTTTGCTGGTGATAGTCTACTGTTCTTTAAGGCGAATTTGCAGGAGGCAGGAGTTGTTAAGCAGTGCCTACAAACCTATGAACTTCTGTCTGGATAGACTGTTAATTATCATAAACCAAGTGTGTGTTTTACTAAGAATACTGTGTAGATGATAGTGAGGCTGTGATTGCTTTGTTGGGTGTTACATACCCAAGCTCCTAATTTTGGAAATTACTTGGGTCTACCCTCTTTTGTTGGGAGGAATAAAAGGTTAGTTTTCTCTTACATTGAGGGAAAAGTCAAGCAGAGGATTGGTTCATGGAATAAGAAATTGTTGACTCAGCCTAGCAGGGAGGTTCACCTTAAGAGTGTGGCACAAGCAATGCCTACGTTCTGAGTGTTTTTTAGCTAACTGATTCTTATTGTGTTGCTATAGAAAGGACCATGAATCGATGCTGGTGGAGATCGGGAGGAGATAATGGAAGAGGTATTCATTGGATGTCTTGTGACAGGTTATGTAAGCCTAAATCTGTTGGTAGTTTGGATTTTAAGGACCTTCGTGCTTTTAATTTGGCCATGTTAGGCAAACAGGCATGACCGCTTTCTCACGAAACCGCAGTCCTTGGGTGCCCCGTGTCTATAAAGCAAGGTATTTCCATAAATCATCTTTTACTGATGCAACTATAGGAAATAACCCTAGTTATTGTTTGAGGATCATTATGGCTGCACAAGATCTAATTTGTAATGGTGTGAGACGGAGAGTTGGTAATGGGAATTCAACCTTAATTTTGGGACACCCCTAGCTTTTGGATGATTGTAACCCTATGATTCATACTACTATGCCCCAACACTTGCAAGGTTCCAAAGTGGTTGACTTGATTGACCAGGACTCTCATTCTTGCCTAGTGATGTGAACCGTATCATCAGAGTCCCTATATGCCCATCCTATGAGGATTCGTGGTATTGGTATGGGGATCCGAGTGGTTGTTATTATGTGAAGAGTGACTATAGATCATTATGGGTGAAGTCAATGCCATCTCTAATGGCTTCAACAATTGGACCTCATTATGGAAAATAAAAGACACCCCCCCTCTCCCTCCCTCCATCCAAAAAAAAAAAAAAATGGAAGACTATCTTGTTGAGAGCTATCAGTGGTATTCTCCCCACCACTACTAATCTACTTATAAGGACAGTAGATGTGAGCCCATCATGTCCTTTGTGTACTTCGTTTCATGAGGATACCATGCACTCCCTCATTGAGTGTGAGTTTGCAAAACTAGTTTGGCATGAGTCCCTACTCACCATTTCTTGTGTGAATGGGAACTCTTTCCCAGCTTGGTTCCAAAATTCTATGAGTGTGTTAACAGGAGATATTCTCGTCAAGTTTGTTGTAGTCCTGTATCATATTTGGATCGCAAGGAACAGCGCAGTTTGGGAAGCTTGCATGCAACAGCCGAGACGTGTCTGGAGGAGTGCATCTGCTGCCATCACTGCATGGGAATCTGCTGTTGGAAGAGCTGTTGCGGCGCCAACTCCACCGTCGTTACCAAAACAGCAGTTGCAGACAGCAGGCGACTTTCCACATTGCTTCTTCGACGCTGGATTTTCCTCAATGGAGGCTACAACGACGTATGGTGCGGTGCTGTTTCGACCGAAGGGGATTTCATCACAGTAACAAACGAGAGCCTATCCTTTTGCTCCAATGCTCTAATGGCGGAATCTTATGCTTACAAAGAGGGCCCTCTCGTTGTTAAAAGATCGTGGAGTTGCTACAGTTGCCATACACACTGATTGCTTGGTTCTACATCGCTATATTACTACCTCTACAGTCAGGCCTAGATCTCACGTTGGAATTGTGATAGATGATTGCTCACCTTATGTCTTTGTCTTCTTATTGTTCTTTATTTTTACTCACTAGACAGTTAAATTTGATAGTTCATACTTTAGCTTTAAAGCCTCTCATCAGGCTAGCTTGATGTACTGGGACTCTGTCTCCCCCGACAACTTTGTTTCAGCTCTTTTGCAATAACCTACTTAGTTGTTTTTGCTTTAAAAAAAATTATTAATCATATTTAATTATGATAAAAAATTATCGTATTGGTCAAATTATTTAATTATGCTTATAAAATATTGTGTAATATATTATTGTATAGATTATGTAATAAATAGGAATACTGTGTAAACGACTCAGTTTTGCTTAAGAATCGACGTTGTTAATTATAAAAAATAAAAATTAAAAAAAAAAATTAAAAAAAACAAATACAATATACGCCGGTTCTACTTTAAAGTCAACGTCTATTGTATAGATTTTTTTTTTTAAAACAAAAAAAAGGAATATACATCGATTATGTGCAACAACTAATGTCTAATTCCTTTTTATTATAAAAAGTGTTAAATATTACATTTAAAAAAAAAAATAGCATGTCCAAAAATATTCTATTAAAACAATATAATTGTCAACAACAATTCATTCAAAAAGTACCTAAACAATTTCAAACAATAATACATCTCAAGCAAATAATAGATTCAAAATATGCCAAACAATTAACTAAACTAAATATAATATTATTACGAGTACTAAAACATCATCATCTAAATGTAATAATATTACCATCACCACCAAACTTTATGAAGATAATAACTGCACTATAAATCTCTTACAGAGCGTTTGGTTGGAGAGAGGGAATTACGTGATAAAGGAATTGTAATTTCATGGGAGATTAATTACTCGGAATAAAGTGATAATTTAAATTCCAGTATTTGATTTACAGGAATAGAATTATCGGGAATTTCAACTCCAATGTTTGGTATACATGGGAATTGAAAGGGAATAAGTGGTATAAAGTCAAAAATGTCTATTGTTGTTGATAGGCATTAATTTTAGGTTAAAAAGAGAAGGAGTAATTTTGACTCATCACTATCTATTTTTCTTCTTAAAACCCAGGAATTAAAATCCCAGAGGAGGGACATGAAATTTTAATTCCATGAAAATAGGGGAATTGCAATTCCTTTCAACCAAACAAGCAAATTTTGTGGCATTTGAAATTAGGTGAGAATTAAGTGAGAAGGAAATTTAAATTCCCTTCAACCAAACGCCATGTAGTGAATTTGATCTTGCATTCTTGTGTGTAGCAAGTGCCAACTGGTTCTATCACTCCCTCCAAAGAGCTGAAGAGTTATCCAATAATAATATAAAATATTAATTTAAAATTGTATTCTCTCTGTCCCATTTTATCTGTCCCTACTTACTATTCAGGGGTCAAAACCAACTCTTTCTTCTTCTTTTTTAAGTAGCTTTTTAATTATTTTTAATTTGTGTTTAATAGTACTTTTAGTGTAATTTCTAAATATATAAATTTTGTATACTAATAGTAAACTTAATATTATGAAAAATTAGATAAAAAATAACTTCAGTCAAGCCTTATTAACCAAACCAGCCACATAAAATGGGACGGAGAGAGTATTAAACATACTCATAATTGCCAACTATCATGTAGCTAGTGTGATGACTTTCCGATTACCATTTCAAATGGATGGTCATAGGTTTGAACACCGGTGGTGGAGGCTTAAATTCTTTAGGCTGAACATGTTTGAGAAAGTATAGAACAGAAACTATACTCATAATTATTACATTACTTTGTAAAGAATCATGAATATTTAATAAAAAATAAATAAATAAATAAAAAACTTACTCATAATTATTACATTACTTTGTATTTACTTATTTACATTTCCCATATCACTTTGTGCTCCTACTTCAATAATCTCTAAGATACATGAAATTAATTGGTGGTCCTCATCCATGAATTCTAGCTTGCCAGCATAGTGTCGGCAAATTATAACCTTGCAAGAGGGTGAAGTTCCCATGTGGATAGTACAGCATAGCGTTGGCAAATTATAATCTTGCAAGAGGGTGAGAGTGAAGTTTCCATGTGTATAGTTCTTATACGTATAAATGCACTGTCTGATGCATTTATGCATACTTGATAGCACTATTTGCATTTGAACCAATATTGTATCCCAGATATTCTTATATATCTCTTGTTAACATGCTTAATTTCTTCATCACTCATCATTATCTCTTTCAATTCCCATCCACATGGCAACGCCAACCCCAACCCAATCCTCCTCTACTGAAGCAAAAACAATTTCAGACGACGACATACTTATTGCTGATGATTTGCCAAGAGAAAAAAGATGGGTAGATGATAATCAAGCCATGTATTTGTACAATGGGTTTTGGCAGCTAACATGGAGCCTCCTCCATGGGCTCCTAGCCCTCCAACAACACTTCAAACCACACCCCAATGATGTTCTCTTAGCCAGCTACCCCAAATCTGGAACCACTTGGCTCAAGGCTCTTGTGTTCACCATTGTGAACCGCCCAAAGTATCCGTACAATGGAATTAACCACCCTTTGCTCACCTCAAATCCTCATCATTTGGTTCCCCATTTGGAGATGTACGCCACTGAAAACCCCACCAACCCCAGGCCTATTACAGAACCCCCCTTGTTTCACACCCACATTTCCTACCAATCATTTCCTCATCAACACATCCATAGCTCCTCTTCTTCTTCTTCTTCTTCTTCGTGTCGGATTGTTTACGTGTTTCGTGACCCAAAGGACGTTTTGGTTTCTCTCTGGCACTTCACGCGCAAGCTGACCGCCAAACACCTCACCCCCATTTCTCTCCAGGAGGCTTTCCACCGGTTCTCGCGCGGCGTCTCTGTCAACAGATAACAACAACTCATCTGCCATCTCATCATTCCTAACTGCCAATTCTGTTATGTTTAGTAGAAATTAGTTATGGTAGTTAGAAGAGAATTGTTTTCTCTAATCTTCCAAGTAGAATGTATATAGTGTTCTCTAACCCTCTGTAATAAAATGATGGTCAATGTAATAGTACTCTTTCTTCCCTGCTTGTTACTTCTCTGCTTGGCCAATTTCTTCTTTCTGCTCTCTTTCTTGATATGGTATCAGAGCCACAATGGCTTGGCGACCACCAGCCGTAAACATGAATCAGCAAGGAGCTTCTCTACCACCAACTCCCGTCCCAGCTTCAAATCAAAACCCTAACACCAGCTCAAATCAGAATCAGTCTAGCAGAAACTTCGATCCAAACGATCAGACAGATCCTCTCCATCTTCATGCCAATGAGAGTCCTACCCTGCAGTTAGTGACGGCACAGTTAGAGGGGAGGTCGAATTATCACTCTTGGGCAAGGGCCATGGAAATGGCATTGAGATCCAAGAACAAGATGATGTTTGTTGAAGGACTGGTGCCTGCACCAAGCAAACTGGATCCCAAATTTTACTATTGGGATCGTTGTAATACAATGCTGCTCTCCTGGATATTGAGAGCATTGTCTCCTACCATAGCTGGGAGTGTTCTTTAGATCAACACAGCTGAAGGAGTATGGAAAGATCTGAGGAAGAGATTCATTCAGCATGATGTGTTCAGAGTCGCTGAAATTCAATCTCAAATTCATCATGTTAGACAAGGTAATTCCACAATAACTGAATACTTTACACAATTGAAGTTATTGTGGGATGAAATGCTGGTTTTAAGACCTATTCCCAGCTGTGAATGCTCCCCTAATTGTGCATGTGGAACTCATTTGTCTGAGAAAGTGCTGGTTCACCTACAAAATGACATGCTATCTGCTTTTCTGACTGGCTTGAATGATAATTACACAAGTGCAAAAAGGCAGATCATGTTAATGAAACCCCTCCCTGATGTGAATGAGGCTTTTTCCATGGTTTCACAACAAGAAAGACAACTGGATATTGAATCCACCACTCTAGGAGACAACATGACAAGTGCAAATGCCTTTTTCACAAAAGCAGACAACAATGGCAGAAAGCCCTTTCCTAATCAGAAACAAAGACCTGTATGCAGTTATTGTGGATATACAGGACACACAATTGATAAGTGTTACAAGAAGCATGGCTACCCACCCGGTTGGAAATCAAGAAACAAAGGGTTGGGCTCAGCCAATCAAGTGCAAGGACCTGTTCAAGAAAACAGCAACTCAGAAGCAACTTCTTCTTTCACTCAGGAAGATTACAGGAGGTTTCTTGAATTCATGCAAAATGAGAAGATGAAGGCTGATATGAAGATCAACACTCCCTTTGATCTTAATCCCCAGGTGAATACCATGGCCTCCAACTATATGAAGGTCAACACTCCTCTTGATCCTAAGCCTCAGACCATGGCTGCCAACTTCATTCCAAATGCTCATCATGAAGGTAAGACTGCTAAGTCTGAATCAGAATGGATTATTGATAGTGGTGCCACACACCACATTGTATGCAATGTACATTTACTTCACACATCTAAGAAGGCACAAGGGATTCATGTGGATCTACCAAATGGACACTATGCAGAGGTGTCTCACACAGGAACTGTCCATCTATCCACTGATTTGATATTGAAGAATGTATTGTGTGTTCCCATATTTCAGTATAATCTTATATCTTTGGGAGAGCTTGTAAAGGGATCAAATTGTAGTACTCTATTCCATTCTGACCAGTGCATTATACAGGATCAACTCCATGGGAAGATGATTGGTCTAGCTAAGCTGGAGAAGGGCCTCTATCACCTCACATTTCCTGTTTTTATTCAGAATATATCTGCTGTTTTTCCAACTGTGAATTCTTGTAGTTTTTGGCATCCTAGGTTAGGGCATGTTTCTGAAGGAAAGATAAAAGCTCTTCATGCTTTAGATGATAGCATTTGTAATGATAAGCCTACTGTCTGTGAATATTGCCATATGGCTAAACAAAGAAGGTTACCTTTCCAATCTAATCCATCTGTTGCAAGTCAGTGTTTTGATCTTATTCACCTTGATATATGGGGTCCCTTTCATGTCCCTACTATCTATGGACATAAATACTTCTTAACCATAGTTGATGATCACAGCAGAGCCACTTGGACCTATCTGATGAGAAACAAAAATGAAACAAGGCAAATTATTCAAAACTTCTGTGAATTAATCAAAACACAGTTTGGAAAGGGAATTAAGTGCATGAGATCTGACAATGGAAAAGAGTTCTTCATGGAAGAATATTATCAGAAGAAAGAGTACTGTTACATTGACCATCATTTTATTACAGAGGGTTAGAGAACACTATATACATTCTACTTGGAAGATTAGAGAAGACAATTCCCTTCTAACTACCATAACTAATTTCTACTAAACATAACAGAATTGGCAGTTAGGAATGATGAGATGGCAGATGAGTTGTTGTTATCTGTTGACATAGATTGCCATCTTGTAAGGGAAAAGTTGCAGAAACAAGTGTTAAGGTTACTGCATGTTACCACCTCCAACCAGCTAGCAGATGTGTTCACAAAACCCCTTCCTGTTGGCATGTTTTGCTGTCTCATCTCCAAGCTAGGACTACAATCCTTGTACACTCCAGCTTGCGGGGGGGTGTCAACAGATAACAACAACTCATCTGCCATCTCATCATTCCTAACTGCCAATTCTGTTATGTTTAGTAGAAATTAGTTATGGTAGTTAGAAGAGAATTGTCTTCTCTAATCTTCCAAGTAGAATGTATATAGTGTTCTCTAACCCTCTGTAATAAAATGATGGTCAATGTAACAGTACTCTTTCTTCCCTGCTTGTTACTTCTCTGCTTGGCCAATTTCTTCTTTCTGCTCTCTTTCTTGATAGTCTCACCTTACGGCCCCTACTGGGATCACGTCGCTGGCTACTACAAAGCCAGTGTGCAATTCCCCGACAAAGTGTTGTTCCTGAGGTACGAGGATTTGAAGAAGACAGACAGTGTCGTCGACCACGTCAAGAAGCTGGCGGCGTTCCTGGGCCAAACTTTCTCTGAGGAGGAAGATAATGAAGGGGCGGTCCAGAAAATCATAGATTTGTGCAGCTTTCAGAAACTGAGCAATTTGGAAGTGAACAAAGATGGGTCACAGCACGTAACTATGTCGGCGGAGACGTATGTGATTAAACACAGCGCTTATTTTAGAAGAGGTGAGGTTGGGGATTGGAAGACCCATCTTACACAGGAAATGGTGGAGGTTCTAGACCAAATCACTCACGAAAAATTCAAGGAATTTGGGTTGGATGGTGAAATTGTTCCGTGATACTTGAAATATAAAAGATATGTGTTTTTATACGTTAATTGAATTAAGCCCCAATTTAGTTGATTAATTAGACTTGTTTAAGCAAGTATAAATAATAACTGCACAAAGCATAAATAAAAATAAAAAACACAAGGAAATTGTTACGTAGTTCGGAGCTCCTTCTCCTACGTCTGCGGGGCAACCCACGTCTGCCCAATCCACTATAGATGTTCACCAAAGGAGTATTACAAGAGGTAATTGAATACGGCCTCCAGCCTTTACCACTACCACTCTTTCTAACACCTATCCAGGATTGACACACGAATACCCGAACAATCTTCACAAGATGCTTCAGCAGTACCACGTACTGATCATGTAGTACAATATAAATATTCTACGAATTAAATCAAAAATTACATTGAAAATATAAATTGCTTTGCAAAATCAAGAGAACTCTGGCAGTGTATAATTATCAAAAATGGCAGATGCTTCCTTCGAACCGTGTGAATTTATAGCCCTTTCATATGTCTTGTTTGTCTTGATCCACCAATGTAGCCTTTCCCTTAGCAATTCACTGTTCGAACAAGCCTCATCCACTCAATTTGTAATTTGAAAGCTTCTTCGTGGATTTTAAGAATACAAAGCATGCTGTCCACTAATTATTTTGTTTAACCACTAATTATGTTCTCACATGGTCCATAAAGCATTAAAACTTAACAACTCTAATTTAATTTAAAACTAACACTAGTAAGACAAAAATAAAATCGCCAATATTGTGTAAAAAATATTTTACACTTACAATCTCCCCCTTTGGCATTTTATTTGGGAAAACTTGAGTATCACATACTTTGGGCAAGAATCAATTTAATTTTATTTATGGCCCTTAGTATAGACACTTAACAAGACATATAAAAAAAAAAAAGAATAAAAACAACAATTCACAATTTAATTCTTTTGGACCACATGTGAGTTGAAAACCTAATTGAATTACTCCAAACCTTGAATCATACATAGACATAAAAACCGTAGCATACCAATTCAATCAAATTTAGTTAGGAGCACCAACACTTCTATTACTCCCCCTAACTAATGTCAATCCATTATAATCACGTCCAACCATAATCAAACCAAAACCAATATTTGTAGCAGTCAAATAAACCAATATTGTAGCAGTCAACTTACTTCCAAAATAAACAACCTTCCAAAACAAAAACATTCGTAATACTCCCCCTTACTCCTAACTCCCCCTTTTGCCAAAGAAAATGACAAAGGCAGGTGAACATCAAAATAGTGGATCAGAATTACCGTGCAGACGGGGTGCCCGAGTCAGAATCATCGTCTCCCTCTTCAGAGTCAGTACCCGAGTTAGCAGCACCAGAGTGTGCAAGAATCTGAGCGTGAATAGCTTCCATACGGGTGATTTCCTTGAGCTGCACATCCCTAAGATTTTCCAGGCCAGCGATGGTGGCTTGTTGAGAGGCAACGGACTGCTGAACCTGCGCAATAGAGGCTTCAAGAGTGAGTAGAATCTGCTGACGATCAACCAAAGTAGTGAGTTCTTTGGGAATCCGTTTAGCGCCCGGACGAGAAGCCGAAGCAGTGTCAGCTGAAGAGGCCGGGGCAGAATGCAGTGGTGCCGGAGGTGGAATGTCCGGAAGGTGAGCCAGAGACGCCCGATCATCATAATGACCCCGTTGAGTGAGTCGATCATAAAAAATATAGGCATTGTCGGGAGTTGTAAGGACTTCCTCCTTATATGGTTGAAAACCGTGATCTTGAAGGACTCCGAAGATCAAACATGGAAACGGGAGATGTATTTTGGCCTCCTTTTTTCTGCAAAAAAGACATTAAATGAGAGAAAATAACCATGCCAAGGTTGAACGGAAGGCGGTTTCGGATTTTGTATAGGAGTCCAGCAAGTTGTTCAGAAATTTGGTGACGACGCACGGCCGGGACCCAATTCGCGGAAGCTAGGCGCAAAAGCACAGAATAGACCGTGGTTAGCTTCAAGCTAGAAAGACCATCCTTCGGCCATGAAACTGCCTTATTATGAGTGAGAGCAGTAGCTAACAATTGAGGGCTCGGATCCGGTGAGGCAGGATTATTCGGGGTGCCCAAATAAGCATTAATCTCCGTAGGGCCAAAGGGGTACCATTTGCCCCGAATGTAGACTTGATGAAACCTTGCGGAGCCTTCAGTAAATGTATCCAAAGTCAGATTTGTATAGAATTCGGCCGTCAACCAAGTAGAATACGGACCAACATGCCGGAGGGAAGCAAGTAGATTTTGATCTCGCAGCAATGGGATAATGTTACACTTGGCAGTCAAATCTACTTCATTGATGGTCTTTTCAATGATGAAATCTCGGTGAATATGAGTCTGCCAAACTGTCAATAACTCGGGTGAAAGCAGCTTGGGTTTGTAGACCTTGCCCGAACTTCTTGATTTGGAACCTGATGAAGGAGGAATAATTGGAGTATCAACATTTGCTCGGGAATGAGTGATCCTTGGTGGAAGAGTGGACCCCCGTCTTTGATGTTTTCGGTCAGTGGGACCATCTATAGCATCCACATCAGTAATCTTTCTCTTTTCAGTGGGACCTGCATCACACAATTTCTCATTTCCCTTACGGGAAGGCTTAGATAGAGGCACAGTAATAAGGGGAACAGAGTCTTTCATTGGTGACATACGTATAGGGACGGTCTCTGTTTTTGCAGTAGAGGTAGGTATGTGAATGGGAATGGAGAAGGCAGAACACGGCATAGGCATATTTGGAGAGGATAAATTTTGTGCTATATTTCGAATAGAGAAATTGGAGGATAAAGAGCTCACATAATCAGAATAAGAAATTAAGGGAGCAGTAAAGCGGGATACGGGATGAGAAGCCGGATCATAGGGGTCATTTGGCAATGGTAGAGAATGTACATTTATGGAACAAGTGGGCACAGAGGACACAAACTGCTCAGGTAAAGAAACATTGAAATCAATTTTACGAGAAGTGGATAAATTTCGACCAAGAGGGGAAAGGGAAGAGGGTGATACCACTGGATTGACCGGAGAGAGGAGAGCAGACACTGGTATTGGCTCCAGTATGGCAGGCATGGACAGTGTCTCAGTTGGGATGGGAAAGGGCACGGCGGAGACATGGCGGGCAAGGGTAAGCAGCTGGCGGCGTTCCTTGTCCGTGAGACCATCTAGAAGAGAAGATTGTTGCTTGATGGTGGCTAGAATCCGATCAGTAATTTCGGGAGGAAAAGGGGAATCAGCGTCTATAATTTGATGAAGCATTGTGATTCTTGCAGAGGAGGAAACATGTACGAAAAAGGGATTGTCCATTTTTGTGTCTTGGTTCTAGGATTAACAATGGTGGACTTAGATGGAGAAAACTAGATGAAGAAGAAGAAGGTCTCGGCTTTAGGTGAAGGGAATGCAAGGAAAGAGACAAAGCATTTAATGTGATGTGATGTCTTCTCAAAAGGCGTGGGATGAGATGATGGGTAGAAGACCTAGGGTATGATGAGAACTAATTAGAGGGTTTAGGATAAAAAATAGGTTTTGACTTGAATAAGTCTTCTAGTTGTTTAAGAAGACACGAATAAACAAAAAAAAATAATAATAAAAATTAGGCTCATTTAATATAATAGTATTAGATAAGGAGAAGACAACTTTGATGTGTACAAAAAAAAAAAAAAAAAAAAAAAAAAAAAAAAAAAAAAAAAACAGCACGTGATATTGCTTTTATTCCTGAAAAATTCGAAGAAAAAAAAATAATTAGATTACTAAGAGAAGTAGAATACATAAACTAATAAAAGAGTAACTTATTTACCTGTTGGAGCAATTAAACATTAATCGTACAAACTCCGAGAGCGGCACGAAGTAATTCAAACCTGGATTTATCTAACGGTTTTGTGAATAAGTCTGCAAGATTTTTTTCAGTCGGAATATATTCTAATTTGATCTCTTTTTCTTCGACTAGTTCTCGGATGAAATGATGACGGATGTCTATGTGTTTTGTCCGAGAGTGTTGAACCAGATTTTTAGATATATTGATCGCGCTCGTGTTGTCGCAGAAGAGTATCATATTTTTCTGGTCAAACCCATAGTCAGTCAGCATTTGTCGCATCCATAATAATTGAGTACAGCAACTGCCTGCAGCTATGTACTCAGCTTCTGCAGTGCTGAGTGATATTGAATTTTGCTTTTTACTCAGCCAGGCAACCAGATTTTTCCCAATAAAGAAACATCCTCCGGACGTGCTTTTCCTATCGTCGGCGTTACCCGCCCAGTCAGCATCACTGAAACCTGTAAGGCTAAGATTTGTATCAGTAGAATACCAAATACCGTAATTAATTGTACCTTTCACATATTTGATGATACGCTTGACAGCCTTCAAATGTGATTCCTTTGGATCTGCTTGATATCGTGCACACATACCAACACTTACCATGATGTCTGGTCTGCTAGCCGTTAGGTATAGCAGACTACCAATCATACTTCTGTATAAGGTGGAGTCAACTGAAGTTCCTTGATTGTCTTTAGATAATTTTGTAGTTGTAGAGACGGGTGTTCGGGCATCTTTTGCAGATTCCAGACCGAATTTGGATATGAGATTTTTCGCATATTTCATTTGAGAAATAAATATTCCTTCTTTTGACTGATTTACCTGTAATCATAGGAAATAAGTTAACTCTCCGATCATGCTCATTTCAAACTCTTGTTTTATAACTTTGACCAGTTTGTCCGTTTCACCTGTCTGTGTGGACCCAAACACAATATCATCAACGTAAACTTGTGCAATGGTTATGTGTTTACCTGATCGTTTTATGAACAAGGTTTTGTCCGAACCACCTCGTTTGTAGTTGTTTTGAAGTAAATATTGGGCGAGTCTTTCATACCAGGCTCGTGGAGCTTGTTTTAGCCTGTATAGTGCTTTTTGAAGCTTGTATACATATTCTGGATGTTGTGGATCTTCAAACCCTTTCGGTTGTGCTACATATATATCTTCTGTAAGATAGCCATTTAGAAAGGCTGTTTTAACATCCATCTGAAAGAGCTTGATCTTTAGTGCGCAAGCAATGGAGAGTAGCAACCGGATGGATTCCAGGCGAGCCACTGGAGCAAACGTTTCGTCGTAGTCGATTCCCTCAATTTGGGAATACCCTTGAGCAACTAACCTTGCTTTATTTCGTGCAATATTTCCGGTTGCGTCCGTTTTGTTTCGGAAAATCCACTTTGTACCTACAACATTTACGTTATTCGGTTTAGGAATTAGAGTTTATACCTTGTTCCTTTCGAACTGCCCCAATTCTTCTTGCATGGCCTTGATCCAGTGCTCGTCAGTTAGGGCTTCTTTGATGTTCTTTGGTTCAAATTGTGATGTATAGCACGAGTATCCTGCTAGTTCAAGATAGTCACGTTTTGGTTTGCCTCTAGTTTTCACACCTGAACTTGGATCTCCAATTACATTTTGAATTGGATGATTTTTTTGGATCCGAGTTGGAATGTCAATATCTTCATGCTCATTTTCTGATTCTGTCTCGGGTTCATATTCAGGTTGATTGCATATAGGTGATGAAGAAGGTGACTCAAAGTTTGGTTCTGGAGTATCAGCGGTAGGAGTTTTAGGTCGTTCAGTTTCAGGTTCTGTCATTGGATCAGTCTGGATAACTTCAGTAATTTCACTGGGTTGATCATCAATGACGACATTTGTGGACTCCATTATGGTTTTGGTCACTTTATTATATACCCGATAGGCTCTGCTGTTGGTGGAATATCCTAGAAACACTCCTTCGTCGCTTTTTGGTTCAAATTTAGAAGTAGGATTCCTATCTTTCAAAATAAAACAACGTGAGCCGAAAATATGAAAATAAGTAATGTTTGGTTTCTTACCTTTCCAGAGCTCGTACGGAGTTTGCGTTATACCCGGACGTAGATAAACTCTGTTGATGATGTGACACGCAGTGTTTACAGCTTCTGCCCAAAATTTTTGAGGTAGTCCTTTGGCGTTGAGCAAAACTCTACCCATCTCCTGGATAGTGCGATTTTTCCTTTCCACAACTCCGTTTTGTTGTGGAGTTTTTGGTGCTGAATACTCATGTGTAATCCCTGATTTGTTACAGAAGTCATCGAATACTTTGTTCTCGAATTCTCTGCCGTGATCGCTTCGGATTCTCCTGATGAATTCGTTTCTTTCTTTTTGAATTTTTAATCCCAGTGTTTTGAATGCCTCAAGTGCCTCGGATTTTTCCTTGAGAAACATAACCCAAGAGAAACGAGAAAAGTCATCTACACATACTAGTATATATTTCTTACCTCCAACACTTTCTGTCTGAGTTGGTCCAACGAGGTCCATGTGTATCAATTCCAGGCACCGACTTGTGTTTATGGTGTGTTGAGCTGGATGAGCTGATCTGGTTTGTTTCCCAGCTTGGCAGACACCACATATAGTTGACTCTATTTTTATCTTTGGTAGCCCACGAACACTTTCGATTTTTACAAGTTTATCGAGAAGTCTATAACTAAGATGCCCCATTTTTTGATGCCATAACTCAGCTTCATTCATACTGGACCTGCAACATAACACATTATCGGTTAGAATATAGCAATTATCAGTTGATCTTTTACCTTCCATGACACATTGATTTGTGTTGTCCATCACACTGCAGCTGTTTTTGGTGAAGCACACGTTCCAGTTTTGGTCGCACAATTGACTTATGCTAATAAGATTAGCGTGAAGTCCTCGGACAAGTAGCACTTTGTCCAATTTTGGCAGACCGGCAACATTTAAAGTGCCTACGCCAGTTACTTGACCTTTGACACCGTCACCAAAAGTAACTTCACCATTACTGGTGTTGACGTTGGTCAGGAATTTTGCATTCCCTGTCATGTGTCGGGAACACCCGCTGTCAAAATACCATTTTTCTTCTCGTCCTGCACTTTTAGTATGAAATGAAACAAAAGATACATAATCAGCCTTTTTGACCCAAATCTGTTTTGTGAACAGTTGAATGTTCTTGTGCCTGAACTTCTCAATCCTTTGATCTTTGTAGAAGTAGTAACATTCAGGTCTGGTATGTCCACGTAACCTGCAATAGTGGCAAACAGGATTATATAGCTTATATCTCATCTTATGAACGTTCACTTTACCATACGATCGTTTCACAGTGCTGCATTCGGGAATGTCGTCTGGAACAGTTCCAGATGCTTTGACAAACACAGTCTTATCTTTGGAGTTATTGCCAGTGAAGCCCAAGCCATATTTTGCAGAGGTTTGCCTGCCGGAATCAAGAATCTTATCGAGTGTTGAAGTGGTATCCATCATTTGGATTTGTCGTTTGTATGTGCTGAGCTCCTGTTTCAAATTCTGAACTTCTTGTTGGAGTTTTGCTTCTCGGGTAGCTGCTTCTTGTTGGAGTTTTGCTTCTCGGGTAGCTGCTTCTTTAAGAAGTACCTTTCCGGTTTGTACTTCGTGTTGTAGTTTTTCTTCTTGTACTGCTGCTTCTTTAAGCAAAGCATTCCTATCAGCTACTTGATTTTGATATACTTTATTTGCATTCGTTACAATCTCTATTTCACTAGACAGTTTGCAGTTCATTTTTCTTAATGCTTCTCATTTGGGATACAACTTATTGAACTCAGCTTCAAAAGATAAAGCACTTTGTTCCACATCTTCTGCAGAGACGTAGTCACCACCTTCTGAGTCTTCAACAAGTTCTGAACTGTCAGTAAATCGTGCTGTGAATGCAACAAAATTACCAGAAATTTCTTCGACATCTGACCCAGTTGGTTCAACATCGGGCTCATCATCGCTCCAGGTAATGGCTGACATAGACTTTTTGCGTCGAAGATAGGTGGCGCATTCAGCTTGTACATGTCCAAATCCTTCACACTCGTAACACTTGATGCCTTTGTTGTTGGACCTTTCTTTGGACTGTCCTGGACGTGAGACAGACTGCTTGGCGTTTGTTGTTCCTGTCCTGGGTGTAGTTTTGAACGACGTTCCTCCCTTTTGAGAATTTCTGTTGCGAGTGTTTTTGGATACCTGTTTCAAAATTTTAGAAAACTGTTTAGTTAAGAATGCAACCGTATCTTCACTAGCTTCATCTGTATCGGATACTACATTATTTTCTTCAGCGGCAAAAGCAATATTTTTTTGTTTTTTCGTATGATCAGTTAAAATCTCCATTTCATATGTTTTAAGATTTCCCATTAGCTGAGTAACAGATTTTTTTCTCCCAGCCATCATGTTCTTGGATGGCTGTGACTTTCATTCGGAACCTGGGCGGTAAAGATCTCAGTATCTTTTTAACAAGTTTTTCCTGCGGGAATGGTTCACCAAGGACCATTGCGCGATTTGCCAACTCCTGTATGCGTGTATGAAAGTCGATGACAGTCTCATCCTCGTTCATGCGCAGTTCTTCGAATTCTGACTGGACCAGTTGCAACTTTGACTGTTTTACCGAAGTAGTTCCTTCGTATGTAGACTCAAGGGCCTCCCAAGCCCCTTTAGCTGAAGGAATACCTGCAACAATTGAAAACTGGCTTTCATGCATAAGAGAATAGATTGTGTCTAAGGCTTTATCATTGTTTCCTGCATTGGTTATTTCTGTTTGAGTCCACTCAGTTTCTGGTTTAGTGACCTCTGTTCCATCTGCGCTGGAACTGGGTTTAATGGGATGTGTCCATCCTGACACCACAGATCACCATACAGCTTCACCCTGGGCTTTTAAATGTGTACGGGTGCGAGCCTTCCAATATGCGTAGTTGTCGCCAGTCAATTGGGGAAGGACTTTAGTTCGGTCCATTCTGCAAAACTCAATACCCCGTGAGATCACACAAATAAGCAATAAACAGAGAAAGAAAAAGAGCCGCTGAAGAGATGAATTCAAGATGCACGGATTCGCCAGATCGATAGACTAATAGGTTAAGTCTACAGGCTTTGATACTAATTGAAATTGTTCCGTGATACTTGAAATATAAAAGATATGTGTTTTTATACGTTAATTGAATTAAGCCCCAATTTAGTTGATTAATTAGACTTGTTTAAGCAAGTATAAATAATAACTGTAGAAAGCATAAATAAAAATAAAAAACACAAGGAAATTGTTACGCAGTTCGGAGCTCCTTCTCCTACGTCTGCGGGGCAACCCACGTCTGCCCAATCCACTATAGATGTTCACCAAAGGAGTATTACAAGAGGTAATTGAATACGGCCTCCAGCCTTTACCACTACCACTCTTTCTAACACCTATCCAGGATTGACACACGAATACCCGAATAATCTTCACAAGATGCTTCAGCAGTACCACGTACTGATCATGTAGTACAATATAAATATTCTACGAATTAAATCAGAAATTACATTCAAAATATAAATTGCTTTGCAAAATCAAGAGAACTCTGGCAGTGTATAATTCTCAAAAATGGCAGATACTTCCTTCGAACCGTGTGAATTTATAGCCCTTTCATATGTCTTGTTTGTCTTGATCCACCAATGTAGCCTTTCCCTTAGCAATTCACTGTTCGAACAAGCCTCATCCACTCAATTTGTAATTTGAAAGCTTCTTCGTGGATTTTAAGAATACAAAGCATGCTGTCCACTAATTATTTTGTTTAACCACTAATTATGTTCTCACATGGTCCATAAAGCATTAAAACTTAACAACTCTAATTTAATTTAAAACTAACACTAATAAGACAAAAATAAAATCGCCAATATTGTGTAAAAAATATTTTACACTTACAATTGGGTTAAATTGAAGGCATTTCTGCATCCCATCCGGACAAATAAAACTGCATAATAATATAATATAATGTTCAAAATAATATAATGCTATTTTCTCTTAAATGCCACTTTGAAGTAGCCCTATTGAATATGTTTCTTGATCAGTGAACAAGTGTGCTCATGAATTGGCTGGAGCAGCTAGTTTGCATCCTGATCATGTTACTTAGTTTTCGTCTATTCCGTTTTGTATTGAACATTTGATTCCTTCCGTCTTGGTGGTGAAATGGTAGACACGCGAGACTCAAAATCTCGTGCTAAAGAGCGTGGAGGTTCGAGTCCTCTTCAAGGCATAATATCGATTCTCATTGAATGAGCAATTCAATAAGAGAGCTCGGATCGATTCGGCAGGGGATCCCGGGGATCGCGAAATCTCCTCTATCTAATGTATGGGGACACAATAAGAGAGTATCTATCTCCTCTATCTAATGTGTGGGGACACAATAAGAGAGTATCTATCTCCTCTATCTAATGTATGGGGACACAATAAGAGAGTATCTATCTCCTCTATCTAATGTATGGGGACACAATAAGAGAGTATCTATCTCCTCTATCTAATGTATGGGGACACAATAAGAGAGTATCTTATCTCCATCTCCTCTATCTAATGTATGGGGACACAATAAGAGAGTATCTTATCTCCTCTACACAATAAGAGAGTATCTTATTTCCTCTATCTAATGTATGGGGACACAATAAGAGAGTATCGATCCGAGCTCTCCTCAATCTAATGTATGGGGACACAATAAGAGAGTATCGATCCGAGCTCTTGGAAGAAAATTCGGCACACAAAGAGAGTATCGATCCGAGCTCTTGGAAGAAAATTCGGCACACAATGAGTAGAGTATCGATCCGAGCTCTCCTCTATCTAATGTATGGGGACACAATAAGAGAGTATCGATCCGAGCTCTTGGAAGAAAATTCGGCACACAAAGAGAGTATCGATCCGAGCTCTTGGAAGAAAATTCGGCACACAATGAGTATCGATCCGAGCTCTTGGAAGAAAATTCGGCAGGGGATCGCGAAATCTCCTCTATCTAATGTATGGGGAGTCTACGGTAAAATGCCCGCCCGTAACCCAGTCAATTCTGTTCCACTTAATCCCTCTTTCATGGCCCCACATCTTTGCGGCTAAGGAAATAATATTGCTTGCTTTGGTTTAAAAAAAAAATCAATTACTAAGTTCATAAAAGTCATGATTGACTACATCCTAATTATCGACAATAGTTATTGTAAGACTTTCCTATACGGGCCTTAATTATGTGGTGCAAGTGGACTAGACCTATTAAGTAATTGGTTGGACTGGACATTAGGTTAAGTATGTATTCCACCAATATGCGTATATAAAGCCTGTATTGATGGGATACATGACACATTCATTATATAGCACTTAAGTTATGGTACTCATCACTACAAGAAAAATTGCGATTCGCGACAGAAAAATTCCGTCGCGAAAACGCGAAATTCCGTCGCAAATCGTGTTTTGCGACGGAATCCATTCCGTAGTGTCAAGGCTTGTCGTATTTCATTTCGTGACGGAAATAATCTGTTGCGAGCGGTGGCGACGGAAAATGGTGACGGAATTTTCCGTCGTGAAATATGCGACGGAAGTCATTCCGTTGCGAGTCCGTCGCGATTTTGGCAACGGAAATGTTTCTTTCTGTCGCCATTGCGTGAAAAAATATTTCATCGCAAAGCTCATATTCCGTTGCATATTTCTGTCATGAAATATAACGACGGAAATAATTATTGTCGCGATTCCGTTGCTAATTTTTTCATTACAAATTTCATCTTTTGTCGCACAAATTCGTCGTAAGAAAACGACAGAACAAATTTCCGTAGTAATTCCATCGCCAGATATTCTATCGTAAAAAAATTTTCCGTTACAAAATTTCGTTGTAAAAAAATAACATAACTAATCACTGTCATGATTCCGTCGCGTTTTGGGTGACAAAAATTTTTCCGTCACCAATTTTGTCGCCATAATTACAATGAATATTCCATTGCTAAAATTGTATTTCGACTCAATTCTGCTAAATTATTATTTTTAAGATTTTCGTATTTATTATTATTTTGTTAAAATTATAATATTTGTATATAAAATGTTAATATGCAAACTAAAATACAATATAATTTGTACTATAAAGTGATACGATTTTGTTTCAATCAAAATTCATATATATTCAGACATCGAACCCATCATATAGCCCCATTGTTCATCAATTTCTTATCTAGTGCTAATGATAACAAGTTCTGCTGCATCGAGTGACAGCTTTTCTACCTCTATCCTCCGCATGAATGCATAATCTTATAGGTTGAATTAATATCCTCCTTCGATTGCCTCCATTGTTTCAAGAGCTTTTCAAGCTTGTTTCTACCTAGTGAGTATCCAATTAGAACCATCGGAACATTTAAAGCACCCGAAAGAAGAGCAGGCATCAACATAATGACAATGGATCACATATGGCCAAACGGGTTGCCCATCACCGATTTTTTCACTTAAAGTCTTGGACATATTCAAGATGTGTGCTAGAGCTCCATCTACAAACTCCTGAATGTGAGGCCACAATATCTCTTTCCTTTTGTACTTATCCTGATGACGAAAGGGTATTCTAATGATATATGCCCCGCTAGTTTCACCCAAAAAAACACCATCACCATGTGTAATTTAGGACACGTATTCAACATTTCTGCAGGCTCACCATAACTCCAGTCCACTTCTGGTGAGGAAACTTGACGAGTGAAAAGATCCACCCTGTATACACCGAGCATCTTAGCAAGTGCCTTGGCAAGTTCCACAACATATTTAATATGAGAAGTTGAACAAATTAGTTGCATTGTCAGGAGATAAAGAACGACTTAGAAGAAGTTATAATTCCCTAAAGGCGTGAGTTATAGTTACCTGATCACCAGCATCAGAATCTCGGCCAAGTTCCATATTTTCACCACGAACCAAGCCATGCAATAAGCTTATTAAGGAGATAATTTCTAGTTCAATTAAGAATTTTAAATTAATATAGATCATATCTTTATATACAAACATATGGTAATACTTCCACAGATTAGCAATTCAGTAATTGAAAAATCACTGTTCATTCATTTCAGTGCAACTATTTACGTACCTAATAAGAACAATATAAAGCTTTCTTTCCTTGTTACTCTCTGACAACCATACTTTCAAATTGGATGAGTTTCTCTGGAACTTCTTCCTCAGAGCGTCAAGCGATATCGTCTCCCCCAACACATCACCCTTCTCTCCTTCGGACAAGTCTTCAAACATGCCCTCTGTCACATCTTTGCGCCCTTGCTCCCGTTCCCATCTCCTATTCGCTAACCTTTGTAAACCCTCCAATTCCAACTACAAAAGAAGAAGTATAATTGCATTATATATATATATATATATATATATATATATATATATAACAACTAATTTTTGCATAAACATTCATATGTGACTAAAACCTTAAATTTCCCCATAATATAAGTAGTTCTTAGTCTACTGTTGAAAACAAAGAATGAAACATAAGTTCAAAGAATAACAAATAAAGTTGCATTACATAGAGAGTTCCACCTAAATTTCAAAAATTAATTTCCAGAAAATCAAATAAAAGTATAAAACTCCATTTCACATTAGAATAACAGCAGCAGTAGCAGCAAATTCACTAGAAATAGAGTATCTGTGTGAAAATCATATGAAAAATTCATGTACAAATCAAAACTTTGCATTCAAATGAAAAATTCATCAAACTCTTAAAATAAATAAATAAAGCCATGAAAGAAGTCTGGAAAGTCTCTAACAGCAACTTCATAACATTTCAACTAGTTTTATAAAGAAAACACAATTTATGAAAAAAAGAATAATTGGGTAAAAACAAAAACACATACTTGTATTCCTCTACGTGTGTATTATGGGAACCTCAAAACATAGGCACGAAACGAAGAGATTTACAACTAAATACCACTATAAAATGTAAATAAACATGCTTTTATTACATCGGAAACAACGGTCACTGCCTCCTCGCGGGTCAATTGCCGCCTCGCCGCAGCCCGTCACGGTCTCGCAATTCGCAAAGTCACAACTCGCCTCGCAGTCGCAGAGTCGCATTCGCAAACCATAATTGCACAGCACAAAGCAGCCGAGAAAAATGGCGAATAAAAACAAGAAAACAGACACGGAAACGTGAAAAGGAAAAAAAAAAAAAAAAAACAAGCATACCCGTCATCATCAGAGAGAGCAGTTGCACGCGGGAAATTGGACAAAGAGTAGCCGGCGACGACAGCGTGCAAACCGTGAATGTCGGTAACGAAAGGGAATATGGAGAGGAGGAATTACACGGTTACACGCTAAAAAAACGGAAACTTACTATTGTAAAGCACTATTAACAAAGAAGTAATGAACAGAATAACCAAAATGCTCCAACATTAAAAATCTGCCAAAAAAAAATACTACAAAATAAATATCAATCATTAGATCTCATGAAATCAAATGCTTCTCAAATAAATAAATAAATAAGTATATATATATATATATATATATATATATATATATATATATATATATATATATATTGGGATTATATTATAAATATAAAAATATATTAGTTATAAAATGTAATATATAAGAATTTAATAATAAATATAGTTCCTAAATAATTAAGAAAATTATTTTTTTTTCAAAAAAAAAAAAGAAAATTAATTATTTAATTATTTTTTACATTTGTGTATGATCAAAATCTTATTATATTTAAATAGTCTCACAAATTTTAATTATTATTATTAGGAGTGTGTACAATTTGATGAAAATTTGTTAAATAATCGAACCAACAATTCAGTTAAAAAATTTGTAAAATAAATATTTCAGTTCGGTCTATAGTAAAAGATTTTTAAAAAATTTATTTATCGATAGTTTGGTTATAAAGTATTGGTTAACTAAATTAATAGATCGATTAAGTTAAAATAGGTAAATGTTTATTTTCGATATAATCAAAATGGGTATTTTAAACTTCTAGTAAATGTAATAGTAAACATCAATATTGTTGTAGACAGTTATAATTGACAATAAAAATGATGT